AAGAATTCATTAAACAGGATGCTTCTCAATGCCAGGTCAAACAAAACATCATAAACTACTTTCTCCAGTTTTCTACTATGAAGCTGCACACATTTGTGTTTTCTTTGAAGTCACATAAACAAAACCCTTATGCTCATATTAAAAGCCTAAGAAAGGCATCTATTATGTCAATAGGTTTAAAACACTTAGACACAATGAGGAATACTTCTAAAATGGCACTCTTATAATAGTAAATTGATATCCTACTGTTTGGAACAATAGTTGATGGACACCTAGAATCTCAAATAAATTATTTCTAAGCCCACTCCTTGGTCTAGATGTTGAACTTTGAGGGTAGCTGCAGATGTCTTTTTCCCCGTTACATCATGTTGTAGTCTTCAGTAAATCATTAAGATGCATGCAGGTCTATGCACACAACTGTTGAAAAATTTACACTACACTACACTACTATGGGATAGCCTAATTTTGGCAATTAATTGATCTTTGCCTATTAGCGGTAAATATGCCCAGTGGCCTGTTAGATGTTAGATGGGGTGGGATCTGAGTTACTACAGAGAATTCTTTCCTGGGTGTCTGGCTGGTGAGTCTTGCCCACATGCTTAGGGTTTAGCTGATTGCCATACACCTCTACCTCGATATAACGCGACCCGATATAACACGAATTCGGCTATAACGCAGTAAAGCAGCGCTCCAGGGGGGCGGGGCTGCGCGCTCCGGCGGATCAAAGCAAGTTCGATATATAGCGGTTTCACCTATAACGCGGTAAGATTTTTTGGCTCCAGAGGACAGCATTATATTGGAGTAAGGGTGTACTTGGGGTTGTGAAGGAATTTTCCTCTAAGGCAGATTGGCAGAGGCCCTGGGGGGGTTGGGCACGGGTCACTTGCTGGAGGATTCTCTGCACCTTGAAGTCTTTAAACCATGATTTGAGGACTTCAATAGCTCAGACATAGGTTAGGGGTTTGTTGTGGGAGTGGATGAGTGAGATTCTGCGGCCTGTGTTGTGCAGGAGGTCAAACTAGACAATCATAATGGTCCCTTCTGACCTTAAAGTCTATGACTCTATGATTCTAAAAGCACAACTCAGGGAATTACAGACCAGTCAGCTTAACTTCAGTACCCAAAAAGATAACGGAGCAAATACTTAAGCAATCAATTTGCGGACACCTAAAAGAGATAAGGTTATAAGTAGGGCCCTACTAAATTCACGGCCATGAAAACATGAAAAATGCGTCACAGACTGTGAAATCTGGTCTTTTGTGTGCTTTTATCCTATAATATACAGATTTCACAGAGGAGACCAGCATTTCTCAAATTGGGGGTCCTGACCCAAAAGGGAGTTACAGGGGGGTTGCAAGGTTATTTAAGGGGGGTTGCAGTATTGCCACCCTTACTTCTGTGCTGCCCTCAGAGCTGGGTGGCTGGGAGGGGTGGCAGTTGGCCAGGTGCCCAGCTCTGAAGGCAGCGCCCCACCAGCAGCAGCACAGAAGTAAGGGTGGCAATACCATACCATGCCACCCTCACTTCTGCAGTGTTGCTGGCGGTGGCTCTGCCTTCAGAACTGGGTTCCCAGACAGCAGTCATTGCTCTCCAGCTACCCAGCTCTGAAGGCAGCACCGCTGGCAGTGCAGAAGTAAGGGTAGAAGTACCACAACCCACCCTACAGTAACCTTGTGACCCCCCATCCCCACAACTCCTTTTTGGGTCAGGATCCCTAGAATTACAACACCATGAAATTTCAGATTTAAATAGCTGAAATCATGAAATTAATGATTTTTAAAATCTGATGACTGTGAAACTGACCGAAATGGACCATGATTTTGGTAGGGCCTTAGTGATAAGTAACAGTCAGCATGGATTTGTCAAGAACAAATAGTGTCAAACCAACCTGATAGCTTTCTTT